TCTTATCAGAAAAATACGATGATTTGATTAAAAAACTTGATATATTGGAGGCGGAGAAAAAAACTAACATGCATTATATTCAATTACTAGAAAAAAGGTCAAAAACTTGAGCGAAACCACTGTTCTACGAGTTTAGAAATAAGAAATATTCCCAAAAAATCGTCTGAGACAAAGGAAACCCTCTCTGATATAGTTATTAAGCTCAGAACAACAACTTAAACTAGACATTAACCGATCTGATATTAAAGATGTGTATCGCATTAACACAAAATCAGCGAATAAATTCATCAGTGTATTAATACGAGATTGCTTTATTGATGCTTTTAAGAAATATAACAACGGACACAAAAACGATAAATTTAACACTAAAAATATACAAATTGACGGTCCATCCCAGCTTATTTATATATCAGAGTCTCTTACAAGCAAAACGAGAAATTTATTCTTAATTTCAAGAAAATTTGCAAAAGCAAACAATTATGTTTTTGGACTACACATGGTAAAGTCTACCTCCGAAAAAAAGAAGGAACACCCTTGGTTCGCATCGAAAGTGAAGCTGATTTGGAAAAAATTAGAGAAAAGTGACTAGTATTTCATTCATCGTATTGTATCACGAAATTTTTTATTTTAGAAGGAAACTAGCCTCTGAAATACAGGTATTATATCCTAGTTTAGGAGCTAATGGCCACTGTAAATTTGGTGCATGTAATATGTTTATCAATAAAGATTATAAAGATTATTAAATAAATTTGTTGACGCGAAAACGCTACGATATTTAAATGCTGCATATCCTCTTGATTGCAATGTCCTAACCCAAAGTATATGTATTTTCATATGTTCTTATCCTATTAATTTTCCTAATTTCTCGCATTCACCTCAAGAAGAATGGAACGCAATGCATCTTACGAAAATAATCGACACCAGCGCTACGCTATAACTTTTAAAACGCGACTCAAATAATAATAAATAGAAAATAAATTCACGCGACGCAAATGGCATGCCGCTCTCGCTAATTATTCACTTTAAACTCAAATCAACGCCAGTTCTGAGTGCTGAGTTGTACTATTGTGTAATACAAAAAGAAAACCCTCCTACGTCATGCAACAAAAAAACCTGCAAGAAATTCGGCTAGCCTATGAGGTACGTGGTTCTTCTCTGTAAAGGAGCATCATCTTAATCCTGCATTTCCTATCTTAACATACCTAACGCACCAACGTTAAGCAGTCAGCAAATTATCTTTTAATTTTGTGACAGACAAGTGCCGACCGAATGATTCGGCTATACACTCGGAATGAAAATGTATTAGTAGATATTGAGAGCGGGCGAACAAGAGATGTATGGATGTTTCGCTACGTGCACATAAATTAAAACGTAAGCTTTGAAACCTGTGCTCGACGAAAGAAAAGATCGTAAGGAAACTCTCCCATTTTCGAAAAACATTTTGTTCCTCATAAATATGAAGCTCAGATTCCGCGCTACAGCATCGGATTCTTCTCTTTTTGTTGTATAAGGGTGACAAACGAGGATACAGTCCACCTGATGCATTTATTCTCGATTAATAATCAAAATGATAGGAGGCCTGTGCCCAGCAGTGGGACGTATATAGGCTGTAACTATAACTTTAAGAATCAAAATGCAAATGCATTGTCACACATGAACTGAGATGGAATGCCTTGTTTCCAGTAAAAAGGTCCCATTTACTATACACTCACCATATGAAACACAGTAGTATTAAGCTGCTATTTAAAACTGGTATTCTGTGAGAGTATGGTCCTTCCCTGCTCGAGTGACGCATTCTTGCTATAACCATATTATAGCTTCAGCTAGGCTCTACCACGTAAAACTTTGTAAGTTCATCAACATGTCCAATTGCAAAATTAAAGAAAACAGGAATTATTTAATTTATAACATTCTGTACTTCCAAACCATTTACTAAGACAAAATTAATTATACGGCAACAAAGTGAATAAAATTCATTAATATTCCTTACAATAATTTTGTTTCTAGACACCCTGGTGAGACGTCTTAAGGAATCGTCTTAGACAGCAATTAATAATTATTGCACCTACTTCCGGTCGCTTCCGGCGATGGAGGCACATCCGGTTAGAGGCGCCGGGGAAAACAATAGCAAGCTATATCCGGTTAATAAACATTATTAACAGTTGAGAGGCTTCAATAACATTGTCACAAAGTATTTCTTATATTTTCTCCTAACTACAAACTGTAAAATAAAGTAAAGCAGCCTATATACGTCACACAGCTGGGTACGGGCTCCTTCTGAGAGGGTTTTAGGGCAAAAATATTTTTAGCGTGCTATCCCATTGCCGTGGTAGATCAGGGCAAGGGCTCGCCGTATATTATACTACACGACCTATAAAAGTAATTTTCTAGCTGTTAATTAGTCGCAGTCCATCAACTATGATAAGAACTACGATAGGTTCGAAAAGCTAGAATAGATGGCATTGTATAATATTGTAACTCAGGCTTTTAAAAAAGAGTCCTGCTGGGTTTCGTGTTGGTTCTTTCCAGGACAGAGGTTTATTTCCGAACCAGTGGTAAAATTAAAAAATGAAGCCTCCTACTACAGGCGCTCTGTGCTTAAAGGGAGGCTCTAGCCACTTATTTATGTTAAAATACCTTGTGATTTAAATAAAGAATTATTATTATTATTATTTTGGGGTATCTATATAGTTTTCTCATCTGGTTGGGTGCTATAAATATATAATTATAAATGAAAATGAAAAGACAAATATACATAAATATCAATAACATAAAATAAATATAAAAGTACATAAATAAATAAAAGCCCAACCAGATGGAGGCCCTCGGCAGGGGGAGACCAAACGGCCGAGGGTTAGGGGGGAAAGGGAAAGAAACCGGCGGACGATGCGGGCGGTATCGAGGAGCACCGCCTTCTGCATTTGAACCTGGAGCGGTCCGCCACGTAGTCCCAGCCGCCTCAGATGACCCGAGAGGCTGACTGGGATTAGCCCGTTTGCAGAGACGACTACAGGAATAATTTCGGTCGGCAGACCACCCCACATGTCGGTCACCTCGTGAGCCAGGTCCAGATATTTTGTTTGCTTGTCTGTTTCGGCTTTCACGAGGTTCTCGTCATACGGAATGGTAATGTCGACCAAAAATATCCTTGACTGTGCCCGGTCCATCAGCACAATATCAGGCTTATTCGCAAGAATAGTCCTGTCTGTGATGATGGCACGGTCCCAATAGAGCCTGGCGCGATCATTTTCGAGCACGGCTTCCGGCAAGTACTTGTAATACGGCAATTTCCGATCCACGAGACCGTATTTCAGAGCGAGCTCCTGGTGTAGAATTCTGGCTACTAGGTTGTGCCTGTGCAAGTACTCAGAGTTAGAAAGCGCCGAACAACCGGAGATAACATGCCTAAGTGACTCACCGGGATGGCGACAAGCTCGACAGATGTCGACGGTGCCATCCTTTAGGATGTATCTCCGATAGTTGTTGGTCTTAATAACCTGATCCTGTATTGCACAGACAAAACCCTCGGTTTCCCCGAAGAGATCACCAAAGCGTAGCCAGTGGAGGGAGGCTACTGTGTCTACGAAAGGCTCATGTAGAGCCTTGTAGAACCTCCCGTGGAGCTCCTTCTCCTTCCATACGGTCTCCCGGTCGGAAATGCTCTGCACTGCCGGGTCTTGCCATTGCTCGTTGGCTAAGGATAGAGGGGTAAGTCCTTTATCACAAGAAATGACGTCCTTATAGAATGGATCATCCGATCTCGCCAAGAAGTAATCACGGAGGCTGCACACTTCGCGATTATGCATGGTGAGCGCGCTCAAGAAGCCACGACCACCATGCTTCCGCGGCAAGTACAGCCTCATTACCGACGATCTCGGATGATGCATCCTATGGGACGTCATTGTAGTGCGGACTTTTCTATCCAGGGCGTTAAGTTCAGTCTGAGTCCACCTGAGTATGCCAAAGGTATACATGAGGACAGGCATGACCCAGCCGTTATATGCGTGTGCCTTATTCACACCGGACAAAAGGCTGTTAAGCACTTTGGTCAAGCGTGCATAAAACACGTCGCAAACTGACTGTTTCATACCAGTCTCATCGATACCGATGTTTTGTGACATACCCAGGTATCGGTATGTTTCAGCCTCGGAAAGGGTCCTTAAGTTGACGGGCATAGATAAGTCTACGCCCTCAGAGTTAGCAACCCGTCCCCTTTCAACATGGAGGACCGCACACTTATCCGTTCCCAGCTCCATTCCAATAGAATTGCTAAATTCACAAGTGATGTTTAACAATTCCATAAGATGGGAGCGACTGGAGGCGAATAACTTGAGGTCATCCATATAGAAAAGGTGGGTCACTTTTGTCCCTCCTTTCCGTAGCTGAAATCCCCTCCCGGAGCCCTCCAGTAAGGTACTGAGAGGGTTCAGAGAGAGGCAGAACCAGATTGGACTCAGACAATCGCCCTGGAAGATACCCCTTCTTATCCTTATGTGGTTCTCCGCAGCCATCATCCGCTCGCCTAGATGACAAAGGATCGTACTCCACTGCCCCATACACTGCTCGAGGAAGTCTCTAACTGTACAGTCTATCTTGTACAGCTCGAGGACTCTCTTTAGCCATGTATGGGGCACCGAGTCGAATGCCTTTCTGTAGTCTATCCAGGCGGCGGAGAAGTTCCGACGGTTGCGTTTCACCACTTTGCCAATGACCGCGTCAATGAGGAGTGGTTCCTTGGTTCCACGACCACCGCCCCGACATCCATTTTGAGCGCGCGACATCACCTGATTTGAGTCAAGGTGACAAGTGATTCTCGCGCTCGAAATGGATGTTAGTGTCTTGTATATGGTCGGTAGACACGTGATGGGGCGGTATTTGCTCGGGTCTGTGGTACCCTGGTCTTTAGGAACTAAATGAGTGATCCCAGTAGTGAAGAGGCTTGGGAGCGACTTCTGGTTGAGAGCCTCTTGAAACTGTCGGGCGAGCACAGAGTGACACACCATGAACCCCTTCAGCCAGTAGTGATGCAGCCCGTCAAGCCCCGGACTTTTCCAGTTCGGGGCCCTACGAACCGCCTCAGCTACGTCATCCGGCGTTATGATGACGGGGTCCATGGGCGTAATACCCGCACACTGACTCGCCACAACTTCCGTCCAAGGGCCCTCGCTGTGGTTTACGGGCTCTGACCACAGGCCGCGCCAGAATGCTACAGTGTCGGCCTGATCCGGTGCTGGACCCGTTCCACTTACCATTGGTCGCTCCAATGATTCATAGAGCCTCTTCTGATCACTCTGGAAGAGACGATTCTGGTTGAACCGTGTCGACCTCTCGGTATATCGCCGAATCCGCTTTCCCCAAGCAGCGATTCTCTGCTTCAGATCATCTATGCGCTCCGTCAGTTTTTGCGTTATATCCGGCTGGGACAAACTGACATTTGTCCCAGCAAACGCCATCCTGACGGTGCGCACAATTCTTGGCCTGTTGTTGCCTGATCTGAAGCATATCAGTCTGCCGATGAGAGCTCTAGCCTTTGCGATACGTTCCTCAATTCTTCTTCTCCATGCTGGGATAGCGCTACTATGGCCAGTAGCGCGTCCAGCCGTGGAAACCTTGGCGCCTATGATACGGCAGACTGCCAGCGCGGCGCCAAAAAGAATTGAGTCCGTCTCGCAAAGGTCCCGGCTGGCTTCCAAATAGGTAACCAGCATTGGGTTCAGAGCCCTCACGACAGCCCGATTCCGCTTGCTTAGGGCTATGCGGGGAAGTCGCGGTCGATTTTCGAGAGGCGTACTGCGCGTTTCCACAATCGCCTCTTCCAATATACTCCTCATATGCTCTAATTCCAGTTCCTGGGCGACTGTTCCATCATCGTTTGAATCAACCACAACTGGGGTATTCACGGCTGCATCCACGTTTGCGGGTTGCTCTACCATTTGTGGCGCCGCATCCTCAGCCGTAGCATTCTCATCCGACGAGGGAACAGCCTCACGTCGTAGCCGTTCGAGTTCGGCGACATCAAATATATTTGAGCGCAAGATATACCGAACTCGGTCTGCCAGGTTTTGCTCTGTGACGATTAAAGATGGCTCCAGCTCAGCAAAAAGACGATGCATCCTAGCCCGATACGCCAAACATCCAGTTTCTTCCCCTTTTGCCCTAAAGTACGCCCGCAGTGCGTTTGCATTCATTTCTTGTGACCAACGCATGCGACGTGCTCCACCAGCGGCGGGTGCCGCTTGCTGAGTCCGAGAAGACCCAGCCGACACCAAGCCTTCTGGTGGGGATGATGGATGCGGAGGGCTGGTAGATGACCGTGCAGCTCCTCGCGCTCGGCTGGCGGCCCGCATGCTGCCGCGTCCAGCGCCAGCTCCAGACGCGCCCCGGCGACCCCCAGGCAGCGGCCTTTTGCGCACTATCTTTTTATCCATCATCCATTATTTGGGCGTCCATTAACGGGAGACGCCCAGGTCCGGCACCGTTTCGTGTGTAGCCATAAGCACAAACGGGCCTCTGCACCCTAAATTCTGCCGCGGCACGGCGCTCACACCTCTCGCAAGGCGCTGACTGACTGCGTTGACGTAGCAGTTTTGTCACTTAACTGTTACGTCAGCGGGCGATGGGGTCGTCAATTCCCTACGCCTTTTTATTTATTATTATTATTATTATTATTATTATTATAATTTTAATAAGAATTACATGTAGGTTTTACAAAAATAGTTATTGCTTCAGTCTGGATATACGTATAAATCTTGGTGGATGTATCAACTGCTTTTCCAAATGTCAAACATTGCCTGTCTTTCCTGTTTGCTTCTTCTTCTTCATCTATCTGCCCGTAAATGTTATCTGCTGGATATGAACCTATCTTGTTTCAGGAAAGACTTAACTTAATTATCGCGATTGGTGAATTGAAGGTTGTACATGCTGGTACATCTGGCATCTTTGACACCGCTTATCAGTCTGAGTATATTACGTATGGTTTAAACAAGACGATTATACCGCCATCTATTGGAACTCTTAAGAACTTTTCTTTTATAAACGTAAGAGTGACAAACGAGCACAGAGTCCATCTAATGGTAAGTGAATACTGTGTGACCTATATATATCTGCCATTGAATAAGAATCAAAATGAAGATACGTCGACAACCATGAAGACTAAGATGAAATGTAGATCGTTCTGGCGTATTTTACAGTTTCGACACCCACGGGGGGTTATTTAAATGATAGATTCTCTTACCTCACCACCACTGTGATTCACACCAACTAATGAACCTTCATCATCATCATCATCATCATTATTACAGCCCTTCACAAGTCCACTGCTGAACATAGGCCTCCGCCAAGGTATGCCACAAAGCACGGTCCTGAACCACCAAATAGCGTAATATCTACTCTAAAATGCCCATACCAAATCCTACAGTCTTTGCGTTGTTGCATGGTTGGAATAACGGGATAAAGGATCACTAGAACGTAACTTGCTTGCGTTTGCAAGATACGACAACTTTTGAGAAAATAACAATGAATTTGATTTTTTCTATTCTATTATGACTATAAGATTTTAACTTCAATAATTTATATATCTTTTATTTATTTACACCTTATTAGATTTGTAAACCAAATTCTCGGTTATTTTTAACTTTTGTCCCGATATTTGATTCACTGGACGTAGCAACGCTAATATATAGCCAGAAAAGGCAAAAGTGCTAGCACTCGTTCATTTAAAATCACAGGTGCTAGCAGCCATTTAATTTGTTTTAATGTCGTGATAAATGTTGCAAATAACATATAATAGAAAATTATTTTTATTTTCAAATTGACACATAGTATAATATGTAACTATAATGACATAATGTGTATTAAACTGTAACAAAAATTTACATGCAACACATCATTGAATTTCTAAAGAAATATATCTAAGTTCCGGTTTTAACTTTTTTATCGATAGCGAATCGATAATTTTTGCTTTGCCTAGTGTATCGTCAATCGTATTATTAAATAGATTTAAAACATTGTTCCTTCTCTAGATACGCTAAACTGTAAGCTGTCACCCGCACCATGGAGTCTCAAGGACGCTCAAGGTCGCTATGATACTTTGTCCTGGCGCATATATTTACTTTACTTAAATTTTAAAATTTGGATTTAGTAATAAAGTGTATGTTATCATATTAATATTTGCTAAGATTTTTTTAAATTAGACCAAAATCCTACTTGTTTAAGTCTCTTTTATTTCGGTTAAAAGTTGCGTTTATGAAATTTCATAATTGATAGAACCAGGCGTTACTTTGCGGAAATCCATTATAATAAAAAACATTAATTACTTCGCAACCTTCCGCTAACTAAATACAATGATGTGTCTTACCTGGATTGAGAAGCACTTCCAGCCCTCCCTCAACTGCATGCAGTAACTCCGTCACCACTAGTCTCAGCACTACTACTCCCAACACCACTACTCCCGGCACCACTACTTCCAACACCACTATTCCAGGTAAGACCCACCATCGACGAGGCATCCTCAGGTGATGTAGACTCTACGGCGGTGACTTAGCGGTCAGCTGCCGTAGAGTCTACATCACCGGATTTCGGATTCGGATCGTATTCGGTACATACAAACAAAAAAAATTTTCTCCTTCATAATATTAGTATAGATAATGATTTTTTCTTATTATTTTTTAATTATTATTTTTTCTTTTTTAATATTTTTAATGAGACATGTTATATTATTTGTAAAAAGATTATATCTACAAAACATAATTCATCAAATTTATTAGTTTAGAGCTTCCCTGTAAACGACATTAGATGTTGTTTTATTTTGTGGCAGCAAAATATCCTTGGTATGTGAGAGAGTTGACCAGCTGATAGGCCGGTGATAAAACTTTAATCCAAGTCCATAAGGGAGACATTTCAAGCATACTTTAATGATATCTGTTCGCGTACTTCTGTTAATGACGGGAAGAGTCTGTTGGAAATCTCCTGCAAACACAAAAATAATCCCGCCCATGAAAGCAGATGAGTTTCTAAGATCTTTTAAGGTTCTATCCACGGACTTTATATGTGCTCATGGTGCATTGATCCCACGTAATCCCACATAATTTTTATACGTGGTAGAGCCGTGGTGCAGTTATATTAGTTGTATAGTTGTAGCACGAATGGGTCGATTCAACCGGGGAAGGACCACGCTCTTACAGAATACCAGCGTGAAATGGTAGCTTAATGCTGCTGTGTTACGTATGGTGAGTGTAGAGAACCGGAGATCCTTTTTACTGTAAATGAGGTATTCAACCTTAGGCCTCACGGGTGACAACGCATCTACATTTTGATTCGTAATCGAAGATGGATGTAGATGTCTATGGGCCACAGCAACCACTTACCATCAGGTGGACTGTGTGCTCATTTGTCTCCCTATCATATAAAAAAAATCAATGAGGCGTCTTGTAGTAATTTACCAAGAGGCTCATTTTTGCGGATAGAACATGGAGATTGTTGCTCAAGAGTTACGGATAACGGAACTTTAAAAGTAGGATGAGCAGCTTTTCTATCCTTTAAGAGAGTTGCAGCAATTCCTGACGAAGTAACTGCTATCGCTATATTCCCCAATTGTCGTATCTTAGCACGTATCAAATGAGGAGCGCGAACTTCGAGAGAGGCATCAACACGGATGGTTGCTGAATTAACAAAGATTTAAAAAGTGAAAAATTCTACTTAAATTACATGGTTAATGATATATATGGATAAATAAAATTATAAAATGTAATTGGTTGTTATGGATGGTACAGGCACTGACTAGCGATTAATACCAAGGTACGAATAATGTGGCCTAGTTTCTACCGGCGTTACTATTGCATATATTAACATGAAAAAGTAGTTATTGTGACACAACTGTCATAGATATTTGATATCGCAGATTTTTTTGTAGATATTGATGCCCTCTATAAAACTGTAGTACATCACTTTGCTCTATTGTCAACAGTTTTCGCAGCGCACGCGATATACGGATTTTTCGTCGTTACTATTGTATTTTTAACATGAAAAAGTAGATATTGTGACATAACTGTAATAGTTAGATATATGGTATCAGGGATTTTTTGTAGATATTGATCTATAAAACTGTAGTACATCATTTGCTCTATTATCAATAGTTTCCGCAGAGTATGCGATATAAGGATTTTACGGCGGTTTACTATTGCATATTTTAACATGAAAAAAGTAGTTATTTTGACATAAATGTAATAGTTAGACATATTTATTTTTTTATAATATTTATATATATTTATAAAATATCCGTAAATATTATCTATATATAAATATAATTATAGAGGTTTGCAGTTAAACGCGAAAACTCAAAAATGGCTTGACCGAATTAGATGATTTTTTTTTGTGCATTTGAGTGGGTCTCTGGATAGTTCAAAAACTCGATTGACCCGGTAGGTGGCGCTATTTTCGGGATCCAGAAATCGCTTGTGCGAAGCAGTAAAAATAATGAAGGTCACTTATCGGGATAAAAACTATCCTATCTCTCAAATCGGACCAAACTGCACACAGTGTGAAAAATTTCATTAAAATCAGTTCATCAGTTTCATCGCGGGCAAATAATTAGACACGCATTCAGGATTTTGTGAAATGTTTTTGTGTTCATTTTGATATTTATTTTCAATATAAAACACAAGTGTATAGTTTTACCAATTCGTTTTTTGGTTCTTTCGCGAAGCACTTCATTAGTTAGTTTGTGTTCAATAATACGATGTCGCGGGCCTAGCTAGTTCTAAATATTTTCTGCGTATTTGAGAATTATAAATTATTTTAAGTTAAGTAAACTCACTTAAAATTAAGTTAAAATTTTGTTAATTACTTGATAAGTTAACACATTTAAATAATCTATGACTAGTGGCGGTGTAAGAATATCCACTACTCCACATCGTCCTGTCGATGTTTTTAAAGGCGACAGATGAAAACAAACCAACAATTCAGCAGGTAGTCCTAATACCAACAAAAAAAAATAAAAAATCTGCGGTTGCCAATCCTAGTATAGCAACTCCGACTTTTAAAGCAATCTTCTATAAAAAAAATAAGTCTACTGCACATCGTAGGACTCCTGCCTATGATGAGCACTAGACTTTATAGATTGTGATATTTTTTTATAGAATAAAGGTGAAAGCGAGCACACGGTCCACGTGTTAAGCCTAGCAATACATAAAATACTATTTAAGCTATTTTCCCACTTCCTTTAATCGCGGTAAGCGTTGCGAGATAAATCTTATTTAATAATAATGCGCGACTAGGTGACAGGACAGCTGACCCTGGCCAATCTGTGGTCATGAGGGCGTGAGGCTGGGCATAGCTTTTAACTTTTGTGGGATTGGTCAAAGTGCACCTCTCAGCATTGGTAGATACAATTTATCGGAGTCAAACGTTCTACGTCGTTAACCAAATATTT